CTGATCATCGTGGTACCAGAATATGTTAAAAGAGTTCCTCCTGATTAATGAAGACTTGGGGACTGGCTTACCTGATCATCGTGGTACCAGAATATATAGGCTGGAGGTTCAGGACTGTGAGCGATGACACACGTTAGATTGATGGTGGATCCGCTGTCTACGTGCATGTCTGGGGCACCAATGATCTCTGCCTGCGGTTCTGCACGATAAATGCGTAAACGGGCTTGAAAATTCGTATTCTACATTAGTGCAATTAGAATTTTATATTAGGGATAATATCTCTGATTAACAGGTTCATCAAGAATTTATAAATAAAGAAACTAATGCATCAACGGGCTTGAAAAAGCACGTGCAATTCGTATTTTACATTAGTGATATTATCTCTGACTTACAGGTTCATCAAGAATTTATAAAGAAAAAACCAATTCATCAACGGGCTTGAAGAAAAGCGGGTGCAATTCGAATTTACATTAGTTATATTATCTCTGATTTACAGGCATCAAGAATTTATAAAGAAAAAATCCAATTCATCAACGGGCTTGAAAAAAGCGCGTGCAATCCGAATTTTACATTTGTGATATTATCTCTGATTTACGGGTTCATCAAGAATCTATAAAGAAAAAAAAAAAACTGCCAAGAGTTTTAAATTCTTTGTGAACCTTCGATTTAAGCAGACTAATGGTACAAGTTCTTTTATTCAATATAAATACGAGGATGTAGGATGCCTATCCCTGAATTATTGTTTTAGCGTTATATTTAATGAATTTTTGTACTATTGATTCTATTGCTTTTAGCAAATTGATGAGTAAGGCTAGATAAAAGAAATGAAGAATTTTGTATTTTTCAGTTTTGCAGGAAAATTGTTACTACTTTCTATTCGCGTAAGCAATAAAAGATTGACAGCTTTTATTACTGAACACTCAATGATAATTAATACGCCAGCTACAATTCTATTATTTTACTCACTGGTCTTTTGCTATTCAGTTAAGCACATGAAATTTTCCCTAATTTACCTCTATTGTATTTATGAAATTTTGTACATACCGAAAACGCTGAGATGTACGACGTACGATCTCACAGGTTTCGTCGAAATTTGACACTCGTAGTTGCCTGAGTCCCGAACTTGAGCGTATTTGATCTTCAAGATCCAGTCTTGAGATTCTTCGCTGTGGATCACCTGACACATAAAAAAATTCTCGAATTTTAACTTTTGTCATTTGAAGTCAGAGGAGCACAAGTCGATGATTTGAAAGACGATTGCCTTTGCATTTGAATATGGCCTTTGAAAGTTTGAATGGCACAGTGAATGCGTAAGAAACAATAAACAGTTTCTTATGATGGAAACATAGCAAATATAAGATCTTAGACATTTACAACAATAACAATTTTCAATTTAAAATTGTTGCGCAAATTTACAAGTTGTGAAATAGTTGCTGAAGTATCAATTAAATTGAACTCATATAAAAATTATTCTTTATTTAAATATATACAGTTTAAATGTCTGTGAATGCCATACTGTATATTCGATTTTTAATCAAGAAGAATCGGCATTTAACATTATTAGAATTGTAAGTAATTTTATTCAAAGGATGCAACTACGTTATGTGATACACTAGTGGTTCAAATTTATCGGCTAGTGTGAAGCATTACAGTAAATTCATCGTAGGACATGAAGCGTATTATTTATTCATGATTATACCTTTCCTTAGAAAGCATGTTTTAGAAACGTCATCTTTAACTTCCTATGCAAGTAAATTTGCTCCGCGCAGAAATTATTTGTCTCACATTCGTGCCGTCATTGAATTCATAATTGAAGTGCCGTCATTGAAGAAATAAAATAGAAAAGAAGTCGTCACCTCTGTATAGGCAATAAAGTTTGCACCGAGTCCGAAGTTTGACGTTGTTGTCATTGTCGTCACAAAGCCTGACGCTGTTGTTATGGTCGTCACGAAGCCTGACGCTGTTGTCATGGTCGTCACCAGGCCTGACGCTGTTGTCATGGACGTCACGAAGCCTGACGCTGTTGTCATATTCGTCACGAAGCCTGACGTTGTTGTCATGGACGTCACAAAGCCTGACGCTGTTGTCATGGACGTCACAAAGCCTGACGCTGTTGTCATGGTCGTCACGAAGCCTGACGCTGTTGTCATTGTCGTCAC